CCATATCCCTCATAGAGCTCCTGCGCATTAGAAGACGGCCTTTGCGAGGGGAGTTCTCCCCTTATGTCCCCTAGGAGGTTATTGTGGGCCGGGACCACGATCTGGAGTTGTTGCGCCAGCCGTAGGAGGTCGTCCTGCAGTGTTGCTGGGTCCATGGTGAACTCGTCGTGTGCCGCGTCGTAGTTCATGACGATCTCATCCAGGATATTCACTGCTTCCATAAGTGCATCCCTTCCCTCTGCTATCCCCGCGCTGTCTCTCTCTCTCTCTCTCTCTCTCTCTCTCTCTCCGTTCTTTCTGACAGGATTTATGATGCCTTATGCCCGGGTTTTCCAAAGTGCTACCGGGGTTACATGTCGAACTTGGCTCGCCGCTTCCATGCCCGCCGAAAGCAGAGAGTGCATAACCATTTCTGCAAGAACCAACACGATCTTGAAAGTCAACTTCAGGAAATTCGAGGGGGCTCTTGTAGCGAGTGCACCTAAGCAGGATTTATAAGAACCGGCCTTCCAAACTGAGACAGAGGAGAGCACACGAGCAGCTAAATCCTAAACCCTAAACCCTCCCCGAAAGAGGGGACCCTGAAATCTACGGCAGCCCACAGGGGCAAAGATTTCGGACTGGGAATTTCGGGTGTTGCGTCATAGTGCAGTGGTGTATACTGTTATATATAATGTTGCAGAATATGTACAGCCTCTCTCTCTGTCTCTCTACATTTGCGTATAGATGTATACGTATAGCAACATGTACGGAAACATGTCATTATAGTAAGTAAACTTTTAAGTTTCGGTCCACATGTGCATCTACATCTACATGTTCTTTTGCTTGTACATAACATACATTCATGATTTTGTTGCGTTCTCTGCGGAGCATTCAAGCGGGCAAAGTGAGCAAGGACTGACCGAACCTGTCATCCTTCAGCGAACATCCTGAGCCCAAACCAAACCTCTATACTCTGAACCACGAAGCCTTAAACCACCATTCTCCTAACCCCCCAACTTCCTAGACCGGAGGCTCTTCCCCCCGAGCCTCCAGTGCCGATCTCTTCCTTGCGCGGCTGGCCTGGATGCGAGGATTACTGGGAACCGCCCAGGGCTTTCCACAGCTCCAACTCTTGTCTGTACCTCTGCGCGCGCATTGCGGATCTTACCGTCTCAGACGAGCTTGCACAGCGAGCCCGAGTTTGAACCAACCCAGGATCCGCACCTGGCTGGAAGCAGCCAGCCCTTTCAACTCCCAGTGTTTCGGTGAGCATCAAGGCCTCAAGCCCTGCATCCTAAAGCTCAACCAAGCTCGCACACCCCTCTGACAGCAACGAAGGCTTCGGTTCGGCTTACCCTGAGATGCTTTAGGAACATTTGCGGCTTCAGCCGCTTCCCGAATATTCCCCAGATAGCGGGATGCTAACCTGCAGAAACCTGTCATTGCCTCATGCGAAATAATAAGAAATCCCGCAATCCCTGTGCTGCCTTCGGCTTCGGCTTTCTCGCCGCGAGGTGTCGGACACTGCCAGGGCGAGGACTCTGGGGGTTTGTGCAACATTGCTTGATGTTCCTTGTTTTCACATAAGGCTCAAACTACATTTGTTCGAGCTTGCAGACTCGAGAGAATTAGCTTCTTGCAGTTTTGCGTGCGTGCACAGGGCGTGCTGCAGACTTCCTAGTGCGACTTCCCACGCGGTGTCACAGGATCTGGGTATTGCGGTGCACAGTGGGGCTTGCAGCGGGGCTCAGTGAAGGTTTACGAGAGGAGCTACAACGCCATAGATTGCGGGGAGGCAGGAGCTTGTGATCAAGATGATGACGATGACGATGACAGTGATGGAATGGAATGTGATGGGGTGGCATTTCATCTAAGGCTCTAGCGCAAGGCTTGCTTGGGTTTCGATTGGGAGTGGAGAAGCATGTTTCTGAGAGGAAGCCTCCACGATCGCATCCCATGGTCTCTGTCGCACCCACTTACTCACATTACATGACACTAGGAGTTCTGGGAATGTCCACAGCACAAACGATTTGGCAAATTTGCTTGCAAAAATCGACTTTTTCAGCATCTTGTGGAATTCACAAGTCCAAGCTGTGTGATTGAATCTGCACCCTGCTGTTAAGTCCTTCCTTGCGTGACACGCCCCAAAACCCTTCCAAGCTGCAAGGATGCCATGGGAATTCAAACCCCTTCCTGGGTAGACCACAGAACAAACTGCAATGTATACCGATTGTATTGAATTCTAGTACAAAGCAGCAAAAAAGAGTATACCAGATTATGTTTGTATTATGTTACTTTGTACTTTGTTGCATACATTGTGCTATATTCTATTCTATTCTGTTCGATCATATGAAGGGCGATGAGATTAGAGTACACTATATTGGGTACTGCCACCCCATATAATGGCAGTATTAATACCGCTACGATTATTCAAGGCCTTAAATACGTGTATTCTACATATGGTTCAACTGTTACTGAGTGATATACAATTTTTTAATGTCATATTACATTACACATTATTGCACTGTACTAAATTACGCTAATTCTGGATTGTATTGTACTGTATTGTGCTGTGTTGTATTGAAGTATTCTATCTTCTATTCCAGTATAAGAATGTCGTTTTCTACAATATTGCATTAAACATATATTGGATCATAGTATGTTCGATTCTATCATGTTTTTGGCTACATCTTGCGGTGCGCTTTTTACATGTCATATCATATAGCAGAACTTCGCAGAACTTAACTCTACTATATGATATGATATAATACGGCCTGATGTGATATGATATGCCTTTGCATATGATATGCTATGAATTTCATCCCAATAAAGTATCCAAGTTTAAGTTAGACTACATTACATTACCTTACTGCGTTGATTTTCGACATACGCCAACTTGAAGCTTGCGCCTCCGTCCGGGTTCCTCGTAGGATGCTCCGGGCTCTGCCACCTTTGTGTTGGCTCAGAGTTTCGGACCTCCTGGCTTTGGGCTTTGTCTTCAGTTTTGGATCTCGATACTCAGACCTACGAGTAGTGAACACTGGCATCTCCTTCACCCTGGCGCCCATGTCAGCCCAGTGCGTGCGTTTGCGACGAGATAAAGTCCCCGAGTGTGCACCCAGTCTGCTCAGCAAATAAAGCCCGCGGCCTTTGGAACGTCCTGCGGCTCGCTTGCAGCAGCCGGTTCTGCCTGTGCTCAGACCCCACTGATCTCAAACACGGGCAAGATTCAACCCTTTCGCCACCTTGTGAAGGTCCTGCCGCTCGCTGGCTGCAGCTGGTAGTGCCTGCGTCAGAACCCTTTGCCCTTTCAACCTGAGATTACAGAGCAAGGGATTGCAGAGCAAGGTATTGACGGGTTCGGATGCCACAACTCGAATTAACAACGGGCGGCCAGCTGTCGCGCTGAATGCTCGGACAAACAAAGCAAAACTTTTCGGGTCTGTGGTTTGCGGTTTTCAGAGCCAGTCCCAGTGCAAAAGTTGGCGGCCTTTGGAATGTCCTGCGGCTCGCTTGCGGCAGTAGGTGCCGCCTGCCGTCAGACCCCACTGATCGCAAACACAGGCAAGATTCAACCCTTTCGCCACCTTGTGAAGGTCCTGCCGCTCGCTTGCTGCAGCTGGTAGTGCCTGCGTCAGAACCCTTTGCCCTTTCAACCTGAAGATTGCAGAGCAAGGGATTGTAGAGCAAGGTATTGACGGGTTCGGATGCCACAACTCGAATTAACAACGGGCGGCCAGCTGTCGCGCTGAATGCTCGGACAAACAAAGCAAAACTTTTCGGGTCTGTGGTTTGCGGTTTTCAGAGCCAGTCCCAGTGCAAAAGTTGGCGGCCTTTGGAATGTCCTGCGGCTCGCTTGCGGCAGTAGGTGCCGCCCGCCGTCAGACCCCACTGATCGCAAATACAGGCAAGATTCAACCCTTTCTCCACCTTGTGAAGGTCCTGCCGCTCGCTTGCCGCAGCTGGCAGTGCCTGCGTCAGAACCCTTTGCCGTTGCCCTTCCAACCTGAAGATTGCAGAGCAAGGTATTGACGGGTTCGGATGCCACAACTCGAATTAACAACGGGCGGACAGCTGTCGCGCTGAATGCTCGGACAAACAAAGCAGAACTTTTCGGGTCTGTGTGGTGTGCGGCGTTAAGAGCCAGTGGCAGACCGTGCGACAGTCGGCGGCCTTTGGAATGTCCTGCGGCTCGCTTGCAGCAGCCGGTGCCGCCTGCCGTCAGACCCCACTGATCTCAAACACAGGCAAACTTCAAACCATTCGCCATTCGCCACCTTCTGAACGTCCTGTGGCTCGCTTGCCGCAGCTGGCACTGCCTGCGTCAGAGCCCCTTTCCCATCGAAAAAGGATCAAAACCATTTGGATGCCAGAATTCCAGATACCAACAGGCGGTTAGTTGGCCTGCTATGACGTGTGGTTGTCGCATGCAGGATGCCCCTGGCAGGCCGGAAATTCTCACCAACTAGTGGAGCAGCCCAACCCCACACCCTGAAACCAACTGTCATCTCGTTGGAAGGCACCCCCACAACCAATTAGCGCGACCTGCATCAGCCTACCTTCAAGGAATTTCTGGGAATCTCTAAGGGTCGCACAGCACACGAGGCCGCCGGCTTGCCATCAGCCTCCCCTGGCCCACAGGGTCTGAGGAAGCCATGGGGGGGTTTTGGAGAAGTTTCGGACTGAGGGAGTCTTGCGGTTCTTTGGCTTCCCTGCACTTCCAACCACACGGTGAAACCTCTCCGCCAATGCCAGAGCAGGGATTTAAGAAGACACGCGAGTCAAGACCGGACCGAATGATCCTAGCTCTCCTAGCTCTAGCTATCTGGCTCAGGACTCCAACTCTGAAAGCAGCCAGGTCCTTAAGTCGGAGCCCAAGCCCGGAACATGCAGTCAGCTGCTTTGGGCGAAAGCAATATGTTTCAGAATTTCAATACCTCTGTTAGAAGCAACGTGGCAGGCACTCCGGAGCGGTTTCAGCGAACATACCAATGCTTCCGAACCCCTGAAAAGCATCCCAGGAATTTCTCTCACGCTGTACTTGGAGGTGAACCGTCCACTTTACTAGACCGGGCCTAAGTTTGGGCCTCAGGGTTGTGGGCATGACAACCATAGGACCTGGACCCCGAAGTTCACGCCGGCCTAGGGAAAGAACAACTTGCAGCAAATACTTCTGCCTGCTATGTTGAGAGCTCGATGAAGTGTTTGGCGGTTAGAGGCTGAGGAGCTCACAAAGCCAGTATCTTCAACGTCTGGCAGTTACAGATTCAGAAACACCCCGCAACAGGCAGAGCACCGAAACACCCTACGCACTAACCGGCACCATTCCAGGGCAGCTTCTATTTCAGGAGATTTCGTCAAGATATCCAAAAACCTCCGACATGTTGGAGAGCCTCTGGCACTGGTTCTGGTGTGTCTGGCGCGTTAGACCTGGCTCTGCTCAGCGTCGCGGACTCCAACGGGCACGCCTTCCTCGTCGGATGAGGTGATGACCCGCCGCCGTTTGCGCCTGTTGCCGAGTACCTGCGCATGTGCCCGCAAAAGGAGGTGGACTCTGGTCCAACTGTAGTGCAACGAATCGAACTGCAATCCCGACGTCCCAAGCCTGGCGAGATGCACGCATACTTGTATATGTACCCATGTATCTACCTACCTACCCACCCACCCACCGACCTACCTGCCTACCTAATCTATCTATCTGAATCTATCTATGTGTCTATCCGTCTCTCTCGTCCTCATTCTCTCTCTCGTCCTCATTCTCTCTCTCTCTCTCTCTCACACTAACTCTCCCTCCCTATCTCTCTATCTACCGATCTACCTACCTGACTAGCTAACTAACTAACTAACTCACTAACTAACTAAATAACAAGTCAACTAACTGATTAACTATCCATCTATCTGTCTATCCACCGATCTATCTATCTACCTATCTACCTATCTACTATCTACCTATCTACTATCTACCTATCTACCTATCTACTTATCTATCCATCTATCCGTCTATCTATCTATGTATCTATGTATGTATGTATGTATCTATGTATGTAACTACCCATCTATTCATTTATCCATCTATCCACCTATCCATCTATCCGTCTATGTATCGTTCTATCTATCCGTTCATCTGACCATCTATCCATCCTTCCATCCGTCCGTCCATCCATCCATCCATTTATCCATCCATCCACCTATCTCTGTCTCTCTCTCTCTCTCTCTCTCTCTCTCTCTATCCACTCTATCATTCTAACCCAAGCTAACCTAACCGTCTACTCGAATCTGCTTTCTGATACGATTTGCACGGCAATGCAGAACAAATAATCTAATCCAGTCTAACTTAATCTAACCGAATTTATCGGGCTATCGGCTATCGTCGTAAACATGTGTGTGTGTGTGTGCACGCACACACACACTTACGCCTGACTGTCGTCATGATCAGCCCTTGTTCGAGCGCCCACACTGCAAAGCCTCAGCGGACTAACACCCCAGTAAACGTCACAGACCCAATCCCTCCCAAACCAACATCCACATTCATGCAGACAGAGTAGGGCCTGGTCCGATTCCATGGGACCTTTGCAAAGCACAACGCTAAACGTTGAACTGCAGTCCTGGTTCAGATTCCTGCACATGTCTCAGGAAATATCTGGGTTGTCAAAGGCTGGGATGTACACGGCGAAGTGTTCCGGATGAGTGTCCATGGTATGGATTTTGGTAAGCTTCCGGACTCCCGGGATTAAAGACTTTCGAGGTGCTGCTACTTCCAACATGAGGACAAAAAACAACAACAAAAGCACTACATAACAAATTGATAATAATCACGATAGTGCAATGGGAAGGAGAGTTTCTGAACAAGACTGTTGCAGGCTCGACAGGTCCAAGCTCACAGCATTGATGGCCGAGAGCTCCGACGGAAAGAGATCTCGATCAAAAGCACAACTCAAGGACCCCCGCCACCCTTGGCAGCCATTGGCTGGCTTAAATATGAAGACTCTGACTATCTTTGTTGTAGCAGCTGTCATATACCAATACGAGCCAGTTTTCTTTTGCTTCACACTATCATCCTTTTTTCTTTTACTGTCACTAATATCATTGTTACTATATTGTTATTGTTATTGTTATATTGTTATTGAGACTTTATTGTTATTCTTCGTAGTCGTATGGGCATTATGATTGCCGTCGCGCCGTGAGATTTGGCTCAGGGTCCGGCGTGCAGGCCACGGGCCGTAGGCTCAAGGCATCGGAGTTCAAGCTTTGTTGTAAGACCCACGATTTAGTCCCAAAGCCCAAACCCCTAAACCTTAAACCCTAAACCCTAACCCTATACCCTAAACCATCTAAACCCTAAATTTAGGATTAACCCTGTACCCTAAACCCTGAACAAGCTGCGGTGCAAGGCTTGCGGATTAGGGTTGAAGGTTTAGGGACTTCAGCAGACCTGTGAATGCAAGCTTAGGTTTTAGGGCTTAGGGTTTCTGGGGCAGGGTAAGGCTTCCAAGGAGGATGGATGAAGTAGAGTTCAGATCGTGCTCCACCCCGCTCAACCATGCGGCTTGTGTCATGCGGAAGTTGGATTCTGCACTTGCACTGGTTTCCATCGCATCGGGAACTTTGAAGGGAGCTTCGAATTCTGCAGAGACGAGTTGAGGATTAGCTGGTGGGTGTCAAGATTCTCTCTGATTCAGGGCATGGGGTTAAAGACGTATCTTCTTAGGAGAAGCTCCGGAGGCCGCATGGCGATCGGCAAGGTGCCATGGAAGCATGAGGGACAGGGACAACTCCAATGCAGCTTTTCCGACATACCCAACCTCTTCTTTACTACTCCTTATTGGTCTCAAACTGTTTGGAGGCGATTTTGCTATTGTCCTATTCATTTTGCTGCTTGTTGATAGGGTTGCATTGGTGGTTGGGAGGGATATAACTAGCACGATGACAAAGGTGATTGTTGGGCAAGGTGTGCCCCTGTTGGTCTGTGTTGAATTTCCCGGATGTCACTGCTCACCACTGTGTTCGCAATGGTGCTGCTGCCATCGCAGCCGTTGGGCTGTTGATGGCATTCCTCTTTTACCGCTTCTGGTTGGTAGTATTGCTCTTTTGCTATCGTTGCTGCTTTTGTCGCTTCTGGTCGTGACCAACAGCTGCAGGCCTCTCGAAATGGATACTTTGACAAGCAAAAGCCTTGTCACGGAAGTGGCGAACTCTGTGAACACCCATGCGTTTCGCCATCCTACTGCACGCATTGCATCATTTGGGCGGGTGCTTCTTGGGTCGTGTGGGGTTCGGGGGCCGGTGTTAGTTGGGGGGCCCAAATGATGGGCAGAGGTTGGCAGGTCAGTTGCAAACCACGGCAGCAGCAAGAAAATTAGCAGCAGCGGCAGACCCCATAGGTTTTTTGTGGCACTCGACTCCAGAAGGAACAACAAGCAGCTGGCTCATCGCTGGGCTTCCATCGGACTGCCAGCCAGTCCTGTATGACATTCGGCAAGACGTGTGCCATCTTTGCTGGTCTTTTTGTCCGGCATGAAGGGAGTATAAGAAGGGAGTACTGGAAGTCTTCACCTAGACCATGGTAGCGAAAGCGTCCAAGGACTCACAGCTTCGCCACGGTGGACCACCAGAACTCTGCTTTCACCTGCAGGGACTCTGCCTACCATCTAAGCGAAGAACTGGTCGAACAAATGTTCTCATGACAAGAGAGCGACTAATCTGTACCGTGGCCGCAGGAAGAGACAAGCCAAGACTTACTAGGGCCGCCACCCTATTTCGCAAGTCGGACATCCGAGAGCAGATTTGCCTCCGAACTCCTAAACTCCTAAACCGGAATCATCCGAAACACAAACTCCGAAATCCAGCGATCACGCACGCGATGTTTCTTCATCGTCGACTCCATCGACGTCGCGGAAGTCGTCCGATCGGGCAGCTGCACGTAAATGTGTTGAATTGTGATGTATAACATGATGAAATGTTGCTACATAGCTACTAGTATAACTTCTGAAGTTTCGATGTCTTCTCCTTGGCTGAGAGTTGACATTGCTGATTTGAGATTTGGGTTTTCGCACCGAGTAAGCACGAGCTCAAGGGAGTCTATTGCACCGTTTACAGCTCATGATCTCATGTTTCATGTCTACTTAGACCATTGCAAAACTCAGATAATGTTCAGTTTTGCTCATGCTGTAAGGCAGATGCAACCCTGACCGGCGACCGGTGTCCATCCTCGGACAGAAAGAAGTTTCGCAGCAGAAGTGACACCTGCGAGTTTCTCATGCGGTACATGCCGCAGTTCGGACTTTCAAGCCGTGAGAAGTCATAGAAGTCGTCCACTGGTCTGAACCCTCTAGTATAGCATCCAGGTCTTCAGTCACGGAGATTACAAATGCATCTGGAAGGGCCTAGCGATCCAGAAACTCACAGCATGTGCAAGTCTATGCCGTCGCGGCCCAATTGGGGATAACGTGGGCGAATTAAACACAGCACGCTCGGCTTGGAAAAAATGCTGTAGCGGTCGTGGACGGCTCATACCAGAGATTTTGAGCACAACAGCTTTTGCTACAAATACTGATTACACGCCACGAAGAGCTTTTGCTCTCCGTGGATAGATGCAGTTGGCTGATTTTAGAGGTGATCTTACGCAGAGCTGCAAAGGCTCAAAAACGAGCGGCTGTGCCGTTGTGCACCCCAACAGCTTTTCGACGGCAGTGTGCCTCGACGTATTGTCTTGCGGTCTTGCGTTGTGCTGGCTCCAGCTCTGCACCGAGGTTGGGCCAGACTTGTGAGCCCGAGCAGTCATTGCTGCAGGGTTCCGCCCACCGGGTCACCGGGTCCTCACTCCACCGTCATTTCGACCTGGAGACGGGCTGCTGTGTGTTTGATCACAGATACGCCTGCTAGCAGTAGAGAAACTGTGACTGCCGATATATTCTGGCCTCGTTACACCTACTGCTGCTTCTTCTCATATGCATCCTACTCTGACTCTTACTCCCCGTCGGCACTCCCTCTACGAGTGGAACCAGCGCAAACGACAACCTCTGTGACGACGATAACAACGAAGACTGCGACGAAGAAAACGACGTGAAGGGTGGTGTTGAATTTCTGCGATTTGGCTGGCTGTGCTGCGGTTGCTTGCACGCTGGCTGCCTTTATTTTGCGTGGTGGTGGCGGTGGTGATGGCAGTGGTATGCAGTGGTGTTGGCCGTGCTGTTGGCAGTGGTATTGGTGGTGAAGGTGGTTGTGGTGGGGGCATGGTGGCGGCAGGTGGCCGTCGTCGTCGGTCGTCATGATTTTCTAAATCGTCGTCATTGTGATGTTTACCGTCTTTGCCAAGGTCGCGGCGGGTTGGCTGTAATGTTGTCCGTGGTGCTGGTGCCCGTTGCTGTCAACTGCATCATCCCCTTCGTCGCTAATGGCAGTGGAGTGCCAACGGCATCTGGCAGGTTTTGAAGCCACACAGAAGCACTCCCAACCTGAAGCGTGAAGGGCCATGTAAAGAAAATGCCGCAACGTAAACACAACCTGCACACAGGATTCTGCCCTGCATTCCGAGGTGTTGAGTAATCACGCTGGACCATCAACAAGGAGTCTCAGCGAAACCTGGGTAAAGGATGGGGCACCGGACGGATGCGCTGTAATTAGACGCGCGGCCGCCTCGCACCCCAGGCCCTTAACCCCAAACCATGAACTGGAACTCTCGCACCTTGCTTCCGCTGGCGACCACGATCTCGCTCAGCATGCGGTCTGCCTTGATTCCCTCCTGCGAACGTCAAAACTGGCCAGCTCTACCTAAATCCTGACAGCAACCTTTCAAGCCCAAGCTCAAGATGATGCTTCAGTATACGTCACTACGGAATAGGATTCAAGTCACGACATCCCAGGTTCACTGCTGTCGGCCGTAGGCCCAGGCATTCGGCTGCAGAATCTGCTGTTCGGGGTTCAAGTCAAAGGCCCAACTTCGCAACCCCCCCCCCCCCCAAACACACCACCCCCACAACACCCTAAAACGCCAAAGCCGCAACATGAACTGACAAGTAGCTCAATACCTGACAGGCTTACTCGACAAATCAAAGCTCTATTCTTGAAAGAAACTAGAAGATGGTTGCTAGTAGAACCAGTATTGAGACAGCGTCGCGTGCCTTCACCAGCATGCGCTTGATGCTCAGCACACGGCCGTGAGCGTAAGGCTCACGCTTGTCCAGTGGCTCGCTTGGGAAGTCCTGCGACAACTATAGCATAAGCCCATCTCCCATATCAGGGGGCTTCTCACTTGTCTGGCCATGTGTAAGCTGTTGCTTTAGAAACCCGATTGCTGTGCTTTACTCCCTGAGCGAAACCTATGACTCCAATTCTCCAACTCCCAGCCTGCTACTTTCGAGAAATGTGCAGGCTCTAGGTGCCAGTTCCTGTGCAAGAGCACGGCACGAAACCAACAGCTTACAGGTCTGCAGAGCTTGCGGTGCTTCTCCGACATCCACCGCAGAGGCACGCCGTCCTTTTCGAAGTCTTTCGTGAAGGCTGCCTCCGTGATGTGGTTGTTCCTGAGTAGTTCGCTTTCCTCTCAGAGGGCCTAGCTGTGATGATGCGCTGCTGCAGGAAGTGTGCCTTGTCCTTGCTGCCTGTGGCGCCACATATCCGTAGTGCCGCTACATGCAATTTCACTTTCTCGGCCATATTCGCCCTTACGATCAAGCCCCCAACATGCTGCTTATCTGCCTATTCGTTCGACCTGCCGGAATTCAGGAGATGCAACCCTGCTGAGGTTCAGATTTTCAGACGTCAGGGCTTGTAAAAAATCATAGGCACAGGAAGGGTTCGAGCCTTCAGTCTGGGGCATATGGTAGGGACTCGGTCGTCAGTCCTCAGAACTATTGAACATACCCTCGGTACCCTCGCCCTTACCCAAAAAGGCGCTCTCACGAGGTTCTGGCAAGCTACAGAGTAGGGCTAGAACCTGTAGCCTCTGCCCCTTCTCTCTCGACCCGATGCATGCCTGTCCTATGGTTTCCTTTACAGCGCGAGTTTAGAGAAGAGCAACGGTTGGCTCTGGCACATCCAAAACAAGACAACTCTGAAGCGCGAGTCCTCAATTCACAACAACCACAAAATCTCGAACCCACAATTGCAACATCGAGGCTGGAAGCCAAAGATGACCAGAAATACGAAGCCTACAATATAAGAACCATAACAACATGCAGCAGAGACTACTGCAGCTAACACTGTCTTTACCAAAGCCCCGCACTATCAACATTGCTGACTAGAATCTGGCCGCGCCCGCTCGAGATGCCCTTCAGGCGGAGTGTCAGGGAGGGATACCTGGGTTTTCGAAGCAGCGTGGACGAAGTCGAAGCAGGACAGCAGCAAGAAGAAGACAAGGAAGGATACTCAGCAGAAGACCACCCTCTAGAGTTTCCTTGTTCCTACATCTTCTTAGTGATCCAAAAAACCGCACCGGGAAGCAACACGGGAAAGATAAGGAAAGCTAGCAGAACTGTGAGAATTCAGACGCTCTTCCTGATTCCCTACATAGCATCTAAAGGCAATGTTGGACGCGGATCCATGTCATGTATGTGTATGCATCTGCGTGTGCATATAAGAATGACATGTATGCAATATATGTATGCATGCATGTAATGCATGTAATGCATGTAATGTATGTAATGTATGTAATGTATTCAATGTGTGTAATGTAATGTATGCAATGTATGCAATGTAGGTAATGCATGTAATGCATGTAATGTATGTAACGCAATGTAATGTAATGTAATGTAATGTAATGTATGTGCATAAGTATAGACATCTATAACGTGCGTGCCTACCCACCTCCTGCCTGCCTGCCTGCCTGCCTGGCCTACCTACCTCCTTTCCTTTCCTGCATACATCCGTACATACCAGTTCACGGAATGGGCTTTAGCAGTTCGGTGCGCGAACTAAGCCTTAAGCCTGAATGCCGAAACCATAAACCGACCAACTGAAGAGTGCCCAGCCACTTCTTCAGGATCGCGGCGACCTCCTTTAGCAGGACATGGTTCTCTTCCCGCTCGGTCGCGTCCCAGGCCTCGTGGCACAGTGTGGGCGGCTACAGGTGTAGGGTGCGGGGGCTTTAGTTTTCAAGGTTTGCGGCTGCCGCAGTTTGGGGCTTCGGTCTGGAAGCGCGGATTGCAAACGAAGCCGAAATTCATTAGGGGAGGCCCAGGGGTCTAAAAGTGTAGCGGAGATATCCGTACAGAACTCTCCCGCGAGAGCGCCGCCGCAACACAACTAGTGCCCAAAGCCCTAGCTTCCCCCTAATCTCTTCCCCTAAACCCTAATAAGCAAACCCTTCCGCCTTCGGGTTGGGGGTTTCAGTTGGGGCCTGCTGCATCTTCTTCTCAATGCTCTCCTGGGAGTCGCTGTGGCTCCAGGAGTAATCGTTGAAGACCTCAGCCAGGGTTTAGAAATTACGGGTTCAGGGGCTTGCAGGGTTTAGGGGTTGAGGCTTTAGGGACTTTAGGGCTTTTCGGACTAGCTTCTAGGGCTAGGGGCTTGTAGGGGTTGTAGGGTTCAAGGCTGAGCTGCCGACTTGCAGGAGCGAACCGGGCCAGAGTTGGGGTGTTAAGGCTTTAGATGGCTTTCGGGCCACAGACACTCCGCCCGACAAAAAATTCCGAAGCCGCCCTAAAAATCACCAGTCGTCGTCCTATGAGAGCACTGGGTTCTCTTGCTTTCTAGATTCTAGATCCAACCAGGCCCCGCAACTCCTAAGAGCAGCCAGGCCTGGCCACTGAGCCTTCTAAAATGGTCCAGATCGGTGTGTCTCGTCCAAAACCCCAACCTACCCAAAGCTCGAAGCGCATAGCAACCCCGAAAATAACTACAACCCTAGCCGCAGTTTTGCAGAAATTATGCTGCACGTCCCGACTAGGTTAAGCAAACTAGGGGAGGCAATGCCGTTGTTATGTTCTTCCAAGTTGGGTTGACCGTGTGGAGAAGGCGAGAGCCCCGAAGCCCTAGGCCGTAGAAATGAACTCACATGCGGCTGAGAGGCCACAGTCTTTCCTTGGAACAGTGACACAGTCATGAAGGAACGCTGTCCGAATCCAGAACTGAATCAACCTGAATTCGAGGACCATGCTTCTCAAGCAGCCGCCTGCGCATTTGGACAGTTCTGGTCTGGCGGGCGGCAGCAATGCCATTCAATCAACAAAGGTTGCCCCTCATGATGCAAGCCTCCATGATCGAATCCAGGTGGGAGAAGACAAGAGGTAAAGCTTCGACCTACATCGTAGAATTCAGACAAGCCCTTGACAGTCGAAGACCATCTTCCGATCACTCGAATATATCAACAAAATAGTCACAGTGGCAACAAACGCAATTTCTCAAGCTGAGCGTCCTGTCATGACCTTCTCGAGCTCTTCCTTGCCCTGCTCCAGTTGCTTCTCCTTGGGTGGAGCCTGCACACTTTAGAGTTCAGGATGTAGACAGGATGAGGGTTTGGGGACCCGCGATGACAGCTTGGGCCTTAGAATGGTCTGTTTTCGAATGTATCACGTGACAAGATCTGGGCAAGAGGTCTTACTCTGGCTCGCTTTCTGGTGCTTGGCGGGCCAGAGCTACAAGTCAGTGTGGTCATCTGAGGTGTGTCTGCCGTTTGAAACAGCAAGGGAGAGCACAAACCTGGCTGGAAAACATCACGACGACTTGAACGGTTCGGCCTGAAACAAACGGAATGACACAGTTCATTAACTATGAGCCCCCCAATCCGCACCAGTATCCCAGGATGGCGTAGCGATATGCCAATGGGGCTGGGCTTGTTGTATGGAGGCTGCTGCTCAAAAAGACGATGGCCGTTGTTGTTGTGGGTGGGGGCGAAAAACCAATCCCAAGTCTGTAGAGCATCACTGGACCGGAGCCGCCTGACCAATCGCATAGGCTTTCGGAGGAGAGTGCTGCTTCAGATCCATGCCGGCCTCAGTCGGGAAGAATTTTGTCTACGACGCACACCTGCCTCCACCGGTGACCTTTGCCGGGGCTTAAGGGAGCCCTGGGCTTCGAAGTGGGAGTCGAGGGCTTCGGGCTGCGACCAAGCTTGTCCGAGTTTTTTTTGTATAAAAGTATGTGTACATATATATATATA